AGGGTTGAGGGTGTATGGTTTAGTGGGTTTTTTTTATAGGGGTTCAGGCATTTAGGGTTTTTAGGGTTTAGGGTTTTTTGGATTTAGGGTTGCGATGCACCTGCTTTCCATGTCCCCGTGAACACGTGGATGCAGCACAAACCAAAGCATCCGCGATTCCTGCCCCACCTAGGACCTAGGACCTAGACAACTAGGAGCCTTGCTAAGTTAATGTTTTCCTTCATGTCATGTTCTGCTCTTCTGCTGTTCTGCTGCTGCTGCTGCTGGTGCGGCGGCGGCGGTGGTGGTTGTCTTTGCAAGTAATATAACAATGCTTACTCTTATTGTTATTAGTCTCGTAATTAGTTAACTGTTCTTATACAGCTATTTTTCGGATAGCTTGTCTTTCCTCGATGATGATGATGGTGGTGGTGGGGATGATGATGATGAGTAAGCGTATCACTCTCTCTCTCTCTCATTATGTGAGTTTTCTGCCTTCCGCTCTGTTTTGATGTTGTAGGGTTCCGCAAATCAAGGCCGAAGGTGCAGCGTAAACCCTAAGCCCTAAGCCCAAACCCTAAACCCTAAACCCTAATCCGTAAACCCCTAAACCCTCAACCCTAACATCAGAGCTGCCGAGGCTGGAGGAGACGGGATGGCCCAGCTACTGCCTTGAGCCCGCCTCTGAGTTGAGGGTTCAGGGTTTAGGGGTTTGGGGTGTAGGGCCTATAGTTCAGGGTTTGGGGTTTAGGGTTGAGGGCTTGTAGGGCTGTAGGGTTTGGGGTTTAGGGTGGGGCCCGGAATTGGGTTGTTAGATGTTGTTAGTGGTTAGCATTGCGGGTGCCAAGCTTCGGGGATGTTCTTTAGAGGTGCGCCCTCGCTGTGGTTTGGTTTCTGAATGACCAGGGAGCGGTAAGTTCAGCTGCGCCAGGCATCAGGCCCATCGACATCAAGACAGGGAGAAGGCGGGATGGGTACGGGAGCTCAGGAGGATACTTCGGCTCCGTTGTCCTTGTAAACCCTAAACTTCCCTAAACCCTAAACCGTAGACTGAAAAAGAACCCTAAACCCTCAACCCTAAACTTCCTGAACCCAAACAGCCTTCGCTCCTCTCCAGAGTCTCTCTCTTTCCTCCCCTCAGGGGCTCTGGACTTCCACCCTCCACTACTGCCACTTAGGCTTCCGTAGCTTGTTGTGGCGTATATACATCGCGCCCGAAACCCGCAAAACCCATAAACCCTGTTGAGCTCAACAGCCAAAGAAACCTTCTTAACCCCAGTCGTAGATACCACGCGAAGAGAGTCGAGTCTCCTGTATGCTGTACATCCATCACTATAGCCCCCAAAAGCGGCCTGAAGCTTTTTGCGGTGGGGGGTTTTGGGGAGGGGGTTTGAAAGAGGGGTTGAGAGGGTTTGGGGTTGACAGGGTTCGGGGGTTTAGGGGTTTAGGGGTCAGGATGCTCTTGGGGGTCTTTTGGTGTTGCTTCGGTGTGCGTTCTTTGTGGCCTGCTTGGTGAGGCACGAAGCTGAACCTGGCGCAGGCCTTGCGACATCCCTCTGGAAGTCGGTTGCGGGGATGGGGGCTTGGGGCCTTTTACAATGCACTATGCTATGAGATGGGAGGATATGTTACATGATGTCTTGTTCCTTTACAGAACATTATACATAACAGCTGTGCTTAAGCTAGAGCTCGTTTGTCAGAGACATGACAGTGAGCTTGCTTGCACGGATGGTGACATGTCAGCAGGCCCCACCAGAGGCCTTCACACCACCTTGAGTCGTGTGGTGCCGCAGCGTCCTCAGCCCGGCATGGCATACCAGCTGCCCGCTTGAGCCAAGAAGCGCAGAGACCGATACAGAGAGCTGCAGCTCATGTCGTCTTCTAGCTCTTCAGTCGCCAGTGACACGTCTGCGTTGCGCGCAGGTGAGGGCTCCGAGCCAAGCCATCGGCCGGTGTAGGAGAAATTGACCTGCACTTCGCCATGGCTGAAGCACGCGCTCTGCTTGACTCTGAGCAGCCAGACAGGCGGGCGTGGGGGGGGGGGGAAGAGCGGAAATGTGTTTTGCCAAAGGAACTTGCATAGCCTCGCCAGCCTCGTTGCCAGCTGCAGGCCACGAAGCCTGGTAGCCACGCTGGTTTGCCCGCAGCCGCACGAGCTGATGGATGCTGGTGGCAAGCTACAACTGGATGAGCGCGTACGAGAGCACTTCCTACGGGTGATGGAGCTGGAGATTGATCTCGGGGTCTCCAAGCAGACTCTTAAACTAGTGCCGGCACAGGAGAGCTGCCGAGAGGACGTTGAGCAAGGGCGGCTGCCAACCCTGCAACGGCAGCTGGTGGTGCCAGCAGCGGCACGGGTTTTGGGCTTCAAGTACCACGAGGTTGGGAGCTCAGAAGAAGCCGCGCCGTGCCATCTCTTCCATTTGTAGCACAGTGGAGTCCGTCGCGAGCTCTGTATGTTCGCAGTGAACTACATCGTACTTGTATCGTGTTCTGATTCTAGCTCTGTCTACCGGAGAGGCTGCGTCTACTCAGGCCGTTGAGACCGCAACGGGCTTCGCCGGGGTACATAACCTGTGCGTCCTCATGGAGGACCTGTTTAGTCACGAGAGGCATGCGGGGCAGGCCACCCTCAGCCTGCGGCACCCTGATAGGAGGAAGGAAAGCTCTACCTGGAGCCTCTCTCCCGTATGTACACAGACCAACTCTCGCAACACCTCCCTGGACGCGTGCGCTGGCTGCCACCGGCTTTGGAAGCCGTAGAGAAGATGGACAAGGACTGGGTTCTTGCTCAGGGATTTGATATTAAATAAGTTACCATAATAAGGAAACCCTATTATTTGCTATCGATTACTATGGTAACTGAAACCCTAACCCCCCCAAATCCTTGAAATCCTATACCCTAAACCCTAAACCCTATAGATCCTTATTACGGTAACCTAAATTGAACTCCCTAAGAAGAACCCAGCGAGGAAGGCCTGGACGTCAAGAAGCTCCCCGAGGCCCCTGAGAAGCCGCTCCCTTCGTTCTGCAGCACCCGGTATGCTCTGTAGAGCGTTTTCTGCCTCCTTACATGATGAATGTATGCATGTATGTATGCATGTGTATGTGTGTATATATATATACACACATACACATACACATGCATACATACATACATACATACATACATCCATGCATACATACATACATACATACATACATACATCCATACATACATGTGTAGATATATATATATAGATATGCGTGTATTTATATTTCTATTTATATTTCTATTTATATTTATATTTATACTTATATTTTTGTTTATATTTCTATTTATATCTATATGTATATACATACACAGATTGAGTGTTTCCTACGTCCCACACTTTACGGTTGAGCTTCGTGTGCTGTGCCAAACTAGACGATCTACGTCTCGCTTGCTGGGTTTTGAGAGGTAGATGGCCTCCAGATCCTTCGGGGCTCGATGGACCACATCGTCGACTCCCGCTACAAGGAGGGCATCGGTGTCCTACACCCGAAACCCTAAACCCCAAAGCCCCTAAACCCGCAACCGTTCTGCACCATCCCGTCAGAGCCACGTGGTTGATCGCCGCAAGGACCCGTGGAAAGCTCTGTCTTTCTCCAAGATGATGTGGTGGGTGGACCTGTCGCTGCTGACCTGCGTGACGGGCCCTAGTCGTAGCAGTCCTGTCCCAGCTTTCACGGCCCATGTAGAGTGAATGCCCAGGCACTTTTCTACATCGACATCGTGTTGGACGTCAAACAGCTTGTGCTCTTCTATGCCAGTGGCCTCCACGGCTACCTCCTCCTGAACATGATGGGGATGGCCATGCCCATCATGTTCACCATATGGGAGGCAGAGAAGTTTGTGGGGAGCCCTTCAGTGGACCGCGATGCGATGACTTTCTGGATCCCTCCGGGCATCCTTTTGCCGCTCTTGGTCATCGCAACGATCTCCCAGACTTTGATGCTTCTGCTGGCTTTGTTGTCTGCCGCCACGGGCAAGCCGCCCGGCTCAACGCAGCTTTTTGCAGCTTTCTGCAGCTTTGCACCGTTACCGTGGCAAGAGCCAGGAAGCAGCCGCTGCTCTCGGGAGCCAAGTTCGCCGAGGCGTCGGATAGCTGATATATTTCATAGGCATTCATAGGGTATGCAGCGGTATGCCTGGTCTGCTGCACCGACAGGTCGCCGAGTCTGCGACATCGGCGCTTGTACAGACAAACTTTCTGATCTCTGCCCTGGGGGGCGTTTCACAGATTCAAGCGCTGGAGTTATCGGAGGAGCAGCTGCACAGCATGCAGCTGTCAGTAGCGGTGTCCTGTTTGTCCCTTGGCCTGGGTTTCGCCAGCCGCGATAAGGCGGACTCGGCAGTGCTTGGCCTTCCCGGGAAACTTGGGTGGGACGCGACGATGGCAGCCCTCGTCCTCACGAGATGCATGGAGGTGTCTAGCAGAGTCTTTGCGTATAACATCCTACAAGTCTCCGTGAGGGGATGGCCGCTCCTGCGTTTCGGTAGCCTCGTAGCAGTAGGCCTGGTGCTGGTGTCAGCCCGACTCCTCTTCCCGGACGCCTCCCTGGCAGATGTGGCAGCTCCTTGGCAGGGCACGGCAGGGCTCAGGGCAGGGCGGGGCTCTCAGCGGGTTTGGGGGCCAGTTTGGTTCTGCGCCTGAGGCTTCCACCATCGCCCATCCCGGGCAGATCTTAGAGCCCAGCTCGCTGCTGCCTCTTCAGCTCCCTGGCGGCCATGTGCGGCCATGTTCGGTGAAGCCACACTGCGTGTACGGTCTGGTGCTTTCAGAGACTGCAGTGATGAGGCATTCGCTGTGCCTCCACGGCCTTATCGTCGCGGCTGCTGGTGGATCACAGCTCCTTCTACATACCAGCGCAGCTCCAGATGCATCGAAGGCCACCCCCCATTGCACGTGTCGTTGTTGGGGGCAACACTCCGCCGATTGTGAGCATGGCTTTGCGATTGCCCTGCAGATGCTGCCCAGCGCGCTGCTGATTGCCTGGCTGGTGTCCAGCTCAGTTCAGCTTCAGCTAGCTGAAGCATGTGGCGCAAGTGCATGCCGTCTTTTCAGTGTCACCCCCAGCTATATATGTGTGGAGCTGGTATAGCCAGTGTCCGAGGCACACTTAGCTTGGCACGGACAGAACCGGCCTTTCAGAAGAGATGGGGAGGGGTGCAAATGGGCTGCAGCACCAGACTGGACCGCAGAGGTCAAGCGTCCGATGTCCTTGGGGAGTTCTGTGATGAAACTGGCTCATGTGTTTTTTTGGTTGCCGAGTCTTGAGAATTCCGTCTGGCTTGGTTCCATGATTCGCACTTCCAGCCAGTCCCAAACGCAATGCCGGGAGAGTCACGTGCAGACTTTCACAACATTGCTCCAAGTTTGCGTCTGCTTCTTGCAGCCAGGCACCTGCAAGAGATAGGAACATGCAAGAGCCCTTTGACCTGGTGATTTCAATAATCAAAGTCATCGAAGTCGTGCTGCACGTCTCTCATGCGGCACTCCTCAGTCAGAAAGATCAGCCGATAGAAAGGATGGATGATCCCCCATAGGAGAACGGAGGACATATTTGCTCGAAAGAAATAGAACTCATGCACCACGGTCGTTTTGTTCACTCCACAATTTCGCACAGTGACTTCATTCAGTTTTTGTTTACATATTGAATAGTCAGCGAATATGCAGAATGAATGGACAAGCTACCGTGTGAACGAAGTGGGGGCCATGATGCTGCGGTTGGACGGATCTCTAGGCTCTATATCCGAAGACAGAAAGACTTAGGCCCAGATCAACAGGTTCTCTCTCTTGCGGGGTTGTTAGATGTTAGATTTTAAAGTCAGCTATTGCTCCCGCCGTCTCCTCCTCCGCTCCTCGCCCGCTGAGACTACCTCCGGAGACTGCCTGGAGACCACCGTGAGACTCCCTGGAGCCCAACCCCACAGACTACCGTGAGACTCCCTGACTACGTGAGAATTAGGAGTGCCCAACCCCACACACTACCGTGAGACTGCCATCCGAGACTAGTGAGACTCCCTGGAGTGCCCAACCCCAAAGACTACCGTGAGACTCTTTGGAGTGCCCAACCCGGGGACCCCAGGACCTCATCGTCAGTCAGCGGTGTGTCCGCATGGACCGTCGACTGACCTGAGTCGAACACGTGTTTTGTTACGTGTACGGGGACCCCACGAGGACAAACTTTTCGCAAGAGCTGCTCACAGTAAATATTCCCAAGCTAAATTTTGCTTCGGTGTTCTTCAATATAGCTCTGACATCCGAATGTGCCAAGGGCACGGGCGCGTGGCTTCGCATGAAATCGTGCGAGACACCTCCAGCTCTTCAAAATTCTGGTTGTGCAGTGCCATCCACACCCCATCGAAGGTGCATCGACACCCTTTTGTCTTAGGTTGGACACCTAGATCAGACGCGTGAGGGCTGCAACAACGACGGTGCTGAGGCCGTGAGCATCGCGAGCTGGGCGGCGCTGGTGTTGCTCCGTGGCCCCGACTGCAAGTGAGGGCACCCACCAACTTGCCTTGGGAAGAGTTTTTTGCCTTGGGAAGAGTTTTTTGCAGAAGCTGCAAGTGGCACGTGCGTCGCATGAGGCATGCGCGGCACATATGTGGACCAGCCACGCTTTGTCGCCTTGGCATCAGCAGGCAACTGCCAGCAGCAAAGAGAGCTCGCACACGCACGTGCTCACGCACACACATGATCCGCAGCATCCGCTCTGCAGGCGACCGCTCGATCCCCTTCTCGACCTTAGCACCGGCCTTCGGCAGCTCGGGCCAGGCGTGGAACACACGAAGCAAACTGCGCCGGCGCAGCGCGTCGCAGCGCTGTCAGCAGGTTCCCAAGGCCGTCTTCAAGGCGATGAAAGCGAAGCACCCCGTGAAGTTGGACACGAAAGCGGCGGTGCCATGGCCGGAGTTTTTGTAGGGGTTCTCCCTCTCATGGGGCCCAAAAATGCACAGGTGCAGGGGCTCGACGAGTTCACTCTGCGCTGGATCCTACACTCTGGAGTTGGCATCCAGCTTGTGCCCAGCGCCCTTGACGAAAGCGGGCTCAGCCTACAGGGTTTCTTTGAGTGCCTGGCGGCCTCAACCCCGGAGTCCCTGCAGCTCCATGGCTTTGGCGACATTGCGGGCGTCCCCTGGCAGCTGCTCGGCAAGGCCGAGTGGCCACAGCTCAAGAAAGCCGACTTCGCTGAGCACCTCGGAGGGCACCCTTGGAGCCGCTCTTCTTTTTTCGGATTCATTCGGTACCCCGCCGCTCCTCTCCTCCGTGAAACTCCGTGCCCGGGGCCCAGGTGTTTCAAAAACAACGGCGAGGGCGCTGAGGGGCTGCTCGGGGCCTTGGCCCGCTGCCGGGAGCTACAGGAGCAACACTGTGTGCTCTGAGCTGCTCTGGACTCGAAGGTATCCTGTAGCAGAGATGTTGTGCAAGCCCCGCCATACAAGTAAAACTCCAAGGCCTTCTTTTTGGAGCAGGCATGCTTTTGTATATATGTTAATTATGAGTGCTGTAGTAGTGTGCCGTAGTATGGAGTATATTATGGGAAACGATGGTATGCGGCGGTAGCGTAGCTTCACTCACTTGGCAGATGCGTGCCTTCAGGAACTCACTGCGCTGTCCTGATGCATCCTAGGAAAGTTCGGCTCGCCTCGCAGTGGCATATCCCATCTCAACTTGTAGGTGAGAAAATATAGGGGTTTTACTACCCTTGAGCTGATGATGTTGGATCCTTTGCAGCTATAGGATGGGATGGAGATCCTCCGCATCACCGAATCACTGAACGGAAGGGCTTATGCCCAAACAGCCTCCTGAGCTTCTTCTGCCCGAAAGCCTCCGCCTGAATTCCCTTTCGCCAGCATCCTGCCCTGCCATTCCGCGACCCCTTCCCCCTCTTTTCCCGAGAGGCAGCCCCCCCAATAAGCACCGCGAAGCGAGGAGCTCAACATGTACTGGTGCGAAAAAGTCCCGGCGGCGGCCTGGCGGCTGCTCGGCGAGGCCGAGTGGCCCGCGCTGAAGAAGGCCGACTTCTATGCGCACCTCGGAAAGGGGGGCCAAGCTCGGAGCTGCTCTTTGCCTCTTCGTTTCTTTTTTCTGCTGTGAGGGCCTCATCTCCTGTGAGCCCTCCGCGCCCCGGCGCCCAGGTGTTTCGCCTTTAACGGCGAGGGAGCTGCCGAGCTGCTGGGCGCCTTGTGCCGCTGCCGGGAGCTCGAGGACGCGGCAGAAGGGGTGTTCGTTTTCCTGAGAGCAGAGAGTCCGCAGCCTCCTTTTCAGAAAACGCATGGTTGCGCGGGTGAAGTCGCCGAAGCGGAGACAGTAGTAAGCGAGAGGGCCGTGCATGTTGTGTGATATGTTGCAGTGCCTAAATGCCTAAATTGGCTCCGGCTAGCGGAGTGGATACGAGGCTCCTCGTGACACCTCTGCTTCTGGGCTCGGCATCTCGTGTATCGTGTAGAGACTGATCTTGTGGAGTATAGTGTCAGTGTACACAGTGTACACGCTGGCATGGTACCGGCGCAGTATATTGATAGTGATATGTACAGTGATGTTTGCGTACATTATGTAGTACAGGGCCGGATAGGGCCAGTCTGCAGAAGCATGATACGATAAAGCGAGAAGATGGGCTTCATGATAAGCGTAATTGTAGGTGTCTTTGCCCTTGAGCTTTCAGCAGATGTATGCATGAACATCTTGAAGGCCGAAGACCGCTGTTGGATCCTTTGCTAAGCTCCGGAGTGCCCCAGAGGCTAGGAAGGATAGGACGAATAGGATCCTTTTGTTGTGAGGGGGCCTAACAGGAAGGGGCCAGGGACTCGAAGCATGGGCGCAAACATGAGGGACTGCAAATTCTGTGACCCTGAGCTCTGATGCCAGACCAACCTCCGGCGAGGGTTAGGTCCAGTTTGGGAGCACTGCAGAATGTCATAATGTATAGCAGCAGTATACAGTATCTCATGTACTATAGACTATAAAGTTACTATAATATTCGCGCACACCCGCGCATACTCGCTCGTACCTATACAATTCTAGGTCCAAGGTTGGGTCGGCTGTTGCTTCCGGTGCTCCGCCGCATCATTGAATCACTGAACGGAAGGACTTGTTCGCACACAAGAACGCCCCGAAGGCCCCAAACAGCCTCCTAAGCTTCCCCAGCCCGAAAGCCTCCGCCTGAACCCCCTCCTCCAGAATCCTGCCCTGCCCATTCTGCGACCCCTTCCCCGAAGCCCCCCAATAAGCACCGCCAACCCGCCAGGAGCTCAACATGCTCGCATGCCGACAAGTCCCGGCGGCGGCCTGGCGGCTGCTCGGCAAGGCCGAGTGGCCGGGATTGAAGAAGGCCGACTTCCATCAGCGCCTCGGAAAAGGGGCCAAGCTCGCAGGTGCTCTTTGCCTTTTCGTTTCTTTGTCTGCTGCGGGCCTCATCTCCTCTGAGCCCTCCGTGCCCCGAAACCCAGGTGTTTCGAGTACGACGGCGAAGGAGCTGCCGAGCTGCTGGGTGCCTTGTGCCGCTGCCGGGAGCTCGAGGACTTTTCAGAAAACGCACGGAGTCGCCGAAGCGTATAAACTGTAGTAAGCCGAACACGCCTTCCATTTTTTGGTAACGCTCAAGTGTGGCTCCGGCTACGGGCTGTACGTGAAGCGGAGCAGATCTGAGATCTGAGCCGTTCCTTGTAGTATACCTCTGCTTCTGGCCTCGTAATTTTCATGCGGCGGCTGATCTTTCATAGTCTAGTGTCAGTGCACACGCTGGCATGGTACTCTATGGTCTGGTGTGGTATGGTCTGGTCTGGCATGGTATCGTGATCGTGATTTTCATAGTGATGGTTTCGTTCATTTTGTAGCACAGTGCAGGGCTAGTCTCAGAAGAATGGTACGATGCAGTCATAAGATGGGCGACATGTTAGCGTAGATGCCTTCACTCACTTGGCAGAGGCGTTCCTTCAGGAACTCATTGCGCCTGTCCGAGCCCTCCTAGGAAAAGTTCACCTCGCCCAACAGTGGCATCTCTTTTTGTTGGGCTGTCTTTGCCCCCATAAGCTGACGAACCCCTGGAAATCTTGAAGGGCCAAAGACCGATGTTGGATCCTTTGCTAGGCTCCAGAGGCCCATGTGCAGAGGATAGGACGGATAGGATCCTCTTGTGATGCGGCCTAACAGGAAGGGGAGGCTTCACTGTAGTTGCAAAACTCGAGGGCTTGCAGATTCTGTGACACTGAGCTCCACTGCCAGAATAGGCGCAAACATGAGGGCTTGCGGCTTGCGGGACCCAGTTCTACTGCCAGACCCACTTCTGGCGAGAGTTAGCTCCCAGGTTGGGTCCCCTGTTGCATACGGCGGTGCTCATCACTGAATCACTGAACGGAATTAAGGGCTTGTTCGCCCACAAAAACGCCCCGAAAGCCCCAAACAGCCTTCTGAGCTCCCCCAGCCCGAAAGCCTCCGCCTGCAACCCCCCTCCGCCAGAATCCTGCCCTGCCTTTCTGCGACCCCTTCCTCCCCCCGCCCTCCCGAGAGAGGGAGCCCCCAACAAGCACCGCCAAGCGCCAGGAGCTCAACATGTACCGTTGCCAAGAAGTCCCGGCGGCGGCCTGGCGGCTGCTCGCAACAGCCGAGTGGCCCGCATTGAAGAAGGCCGACTTCCATCAGCGCCTCGGAAAAGGGGCCAAGCTCGCAGCTGCTCTTTGCCTTTTCGTTTCTTTGTCTGCTGCGGGCCTCATCTCCTCTGAGCCCTCCGTGCCCCGAAACCCAGGTGTTTCGAGTGGAACGGCAAGGGAGCTGCCGAGCTGCTGGGCGCCTTGGGCCGCTGCCGGGAGCTCGAGGACGCCGGGGGGGCGAGCTTGAGCTTTGGGGGGTCTGGAAGTGCAGGATAGTGCACGGAGTGCTTCCCGGAGTGCTTCACGGGAGAATCTTCTGCAGGGGCTCCGGGGCCCGGGCTTCCTGCTCTCAGGCCGTCAACTTCCGCGCTTGCGAGAAGATCCCGGAGTCGGCTTGGGCGGCGCTCGGGGAGGGCGTGTGGCCGGTCCTGAGGAACCCGCGCGGCATCCCTGAAACACATCTGTGCCGATTGCGCGGGGGTCGCCTGGTGACCGCAGGACCGTCATCCTGCGCTTCTGTTGCTGTTTGGTTGAGCGACGAAGTGCTCTGTGCGAGTGTCAGGCAAGCCAAAGTTTTCCTCGAGAGACATCCCCTGTGCGGATACCGTGGCTTAGCCTGTTGAGTTCCAGCGCTTAGGCACCGAGCCTCCAAGGACAGCAAGCAGCTAAGACAGCTAAGATTTCAAGGAACCCTTGACAATTCAGCAGATCGGAGAGCGAAGGCCTGGCCGGCCCTGTCAGACCGCTGCAAGGAACTCCCATTATGGCGGATGCTCTGCTCTTCCCTCTTGTATATATAGCTCCACACCTTCCAGCGCGCGCGAAACGAGATCTTGAGAGACAGGCTTCAAGACAACGCCCTCCTCTGTGTCAGCTTTCTGCAGTGCCTGCCATGAGAGCAAAGCGTTGTTCTACCTTGAACTTGCCAGAGCAGGAACCGAAGAGGTGGTCGCCCGCAACCAGTTGTCCATCTACCCGAAGATGGCGACAACGGTCCTCATCCCAAAGGCAGACGCAGAGCTGCAGGGCGACCTCGAGCTCTTCGAGGCTTTGGCCCAGAGCCGCGAGCTCGAGGACACCGGCACAGCGCCCCCCGAAACCTCCGAAAAGGCATCCCGCCTCCCCCTCCAAACACGGCGAAGCGCCAGGAGCTCAACATGTACGAATGCCGCAAAGTCCCGGCGGCGGCCTGGCGGCTGCTCGGCAAGGCCGAGTGGCCGACATTGAAGAAGGCCGACTTCTTAGAGCGCCTCGGAAAAGGGGCCAAGCTCGAAGGTGCTCGTTGCCTTTTCGTTTCTTATTTCTGCTCTGAGGGCCTCGTCTCCTCTGAGCCCTCCGCACCCCGGGGCCCAGGTGTTTCGAGTACGACGGCGAAGGAGCTGCCGAGCTGCTGGGTGCCTTGTGCCGCTGCCGGGAGCTCGAGGACGCGGCAGAAGGGGTGTTCGTTTTCCTGAAAGCAGAGAGTCCGCAGCCTCCCTTGCAGGAAGCTCATAGTTGCAGGCGAAGTTGCCAAGTAAGGGGGAAGGCTTTGCATTTTGCGGGATGTTGCAGAGCCTAAGTTGGCTCCGGCAAGCGGACCTCCTGTCACCTCTGCTTCTGGGTTCGTCATCTCGTGTATAGAGACTGATCTTGTGGCGAAAAGTGTCACTGGCATGGTACCGGTGCAGTATAAGTATAGTGATAGTGGTTTGTATATAGCGATGTCTGCGTGCCTTGTGTAGTACCGGCCCAGTCTGCAGAACCTTCCTAGGAAGGTTCAGCTTGCCTCGCGGTGACATCTCTGCTTGTAGATGTCTTTGCCCTTCAGCTATCAGCTGATGTAGGTATGGACATCTTGAAGGCCGAAGACCGCTGTTGGATCCTTTGCAGCTATAGGAATGGACAGAGAGGATCTCAGACCGCTGCGAAAGAGCTGTCGGCAGCTCTCTTTTTGCTGCTTGGGGTGCTGCGGCCTAAGAGGAAAGGGACAGGACTCGAAGCATGGGCGCATCCTTGTTGGGGAGGGTTCCACTGCAGTTGCAAAACCCGAGGGCTTGCAGATTCTGTGACCCTGAGCTCCACTGCCAGCATGCGGTGCTCCTCCGCATCGCTGCGTCACTGAACGGAAGGGCTTTTTTGCTTACAAAAAGGCCCCGAAAGCCCCAACCAGCCTCCTGAGCTTGAACCCCCTCCGCCAGAATCCTGCGACCCCTTCCTCCCCCCCCCCCCCCCCGAGAAGCAGCCCCCCATTAAGCACCGCGAACCCGCCAGGAGCTCAACATGCGCAGTTGCAAAA